TAATACTATAATGACAATAAAAAAGGCCTGAAAGGCCGTCCTGTCCAGATTTGACAGGTAATTGAATTGGTTGGGCTTAAAAGAATTAGCCTTTTTATTATAAAAAAAAAAAAAGTTTGTGCGCTTGTCTGTTGTGCATGTTGTTTGCTGGTCGCTGTGCCTGCCTGTTGGACACTTCTGGTAGTACGAATAGTAATATAGTAGTAGTAAAAATGGTAGTAATATTAATGGTGGTCACGCCGTTGTAGACTTCAGTAGTAGTCTAGTAGAGCAGAGTAAAAAAAGAGGAAAGAGAAGGGTGGGAAGGGGAGCAAGAGGAGGGTGGGAGAGAGAGGAGGTCGGACGAGGGGTACGAGGGGTGGAGAGGTGGAGTGCTAGGACGTCAAGGTAGGAGGAGGAGGAAGAAGGGGGCAAGGAGAAGGTCACGAAAGATGAGCAGGTGGACAGCAGAGATGGAAGGTCAGATCGCCAGGGAGGCAGGAAAGGAAGTGGAAGGCATGCTCCTCTGGGCACAAGTGCAAGGAAGGAAGCTTTGAGAACACGTTCTAAAGCTCTCAAACGAGAGGGAGGACAACAACGTTTATTGACCCGGACCTCAAAAGGTAAAGCATGAACCACGACGAAGAACCATATCAGCCAGCCGCTTTTCGTGAGTGACGGGAGAAAATGTCACACCAACGGTGACTGTTGGCTGTAACAGCAGCTATCTGTATGTGTACCTGTCCGAGGCAGCAAGGGAGCACAAAGAAGAAACGAGAGGTTGATCGGCATTATCACAGTACATCCACCAAATCAACCACAACCCAAAACATGGATTCCCGTACAGACTGGGACGGGTAGGATCCAAAAGAGCAGAGAAATGCTGGTGGCACCAGACAATGCAGTCCAGAGTGCGGGCCAAATTCCCAGATTCTTCACCTTCAGCGTGCAGTTGAATTGTACAAGCCTATCCAACACTTGGCCCGGTGAATTCAGCGGTCTTAACCTGTGGTCGGAAACTATGGTGACCAGCTGTTGCCAGTTCTTAACCAATGAGAGAAAAGGAGGCAGAGGAGGCGGACAAAACGGACTCCAAAAGCGCCCCGCTCAAGAGACGAAGGGGAGAACTGCAATTCTAGCGAAAAGCTGAAGCCATGCCAACGGGAAGGAAATGCCGAGGATACACCTTGTGATTGCTCTCCGGGGGCATTGCGACGCGCGCGTGCCTCCTTTCATCTTGCCGGAGAGGGAAGGTGGGGGCGGGGGCCCAAGAGGAGGGAAACAAAGGAGAAAAAGCGCTCGACGTCCAGGGCTCCCATCAACCCACTTTGACTGGAGAAAGAATGTCGCTCGTCTAATCACAATGATTAGCGATTTCCTCTGCACAACGTACGCCAGTCAAATCGTTGCTTACTTCACGTTCGCCATCGCCGCCGTCTCACACGTCCGATGGGGATGGCTCCGTCGCATACTGATTGTTGAAACATGACGGCAAGATCGTCGTCACATCGGCGGCCAATTTAACCCAGAACTGCCTTCTCGCTTCATGGCCGCCAACTTACCGAAAGTCACCATCATTTCCATTTCTAGATCTGTGCGCATGATCCTGCGCATGATCCTCGAATGCGCACGGGCCATGCTAATCTTCCCTGTATCCCTCTAATTCAACGGTTGTCCCGAAAAACAAGCCACCATCATTTCAGGGCAACCAAATTCCCCCCCCCCCCCCCCCACCCCCACCCCCCCCATCGTGGGCTCATCAGCCTCCTGCGGCTCCGTGATGCCTTCCTTCCTCAGCAATCCCCCAACGCTTCTGCTGGCCGTACCCAATTTTCCGGATGCCTTATTCGTTGCGTCAAGTCAAAGCCATTCCATTGATGCTCCCCATACGTCCATTCATTCCGTTTGCTTCCCCAGCCCCACCCCGCATGCAGCCCGATCACCCACATGTAACAAACGAGACTTCCGACAGTAACATACTGGAAGTGGTCGGTGCGATTTGGTCGTCCACAAAGGGGGACCAAGCAAGCGAGAGAGAGAGAGGATAATGTTGTGCAGAGAAAAACGAGGGGCTGGGGAAGGACAGGACATTAGATCGGTTGATTGAGAATTTTACAGGGAACGATGACGGAAGGAGAGGGAGCGCGGGCGGCGAGCTTGGAGTGCAAATCGTTGGAGAAGAACTCTAATTCGCAACCTCTGTTGTGTGTCGTTCACTAAGTTGGGCGTCATTCCCCTCACTGCCCTCAGTGTGCTGGTATTGGAAACAGCAGCAAACCAGAAAGAGAGTGGGACCCGGACTTTGCACGCAACGCTCTGGAAAGAGAGAAAGGGGAGAGACAGAGAGCGGGAACGGAGTTGATTGCTCTCCCCCTTCAAACACACCCTGCAGATCAACGGCGCAGAAAACAGCTGCTTTGCTTCACCAGTCGCGATACGTCTAAAAATCCTCTCCACTCGTCCTCTCATCATCAATCATAATCATCGGGCCATCACGAATACAAAAGCTCATACATACAGCAAGTCGCACCAACCTGCATAATCATAGATCATCGCCATCGCTGATCATAGACTAACAGCCCACCGCCATCGACAACAACGGGAGTCGATGCGATCGGGAGCTTTCACCATCATCGATAGATATCCTTAGTCTTCTCCTTGCCGTCATCTTCCTCGCCTTCGTCAACTTCCCCGTCCTCGTGACGCCTGATTCTCCGAGATTCACAACACCCGTCCGAGCAAAGACTGACAGCAAAGAAAATTTCACAACCCTGCTTTGGCCCGTCTCGCGTCGGTAAGTTAATTCCCCCACAGAGGGGGAGGTACACGCCAATACAATACGGTTTTTCCAGTTTGCTATCCCCTTATCTTCGCCTTCTGCTTCTGGTTCTTCGCGCGCACAACATGCGCGAGAAAGAAGCTTGAGGGAGGCAGAGAAAGAACATGCTTGAGGGAGGCGGGGAAGGTGAGACTTATTGAAAGAAAAAGACGAACAACACATCCAAAAGAAACAACTGAAAAGCAAACCACTGAATGAAACAAATAACTGGCGAATGAAAGGAGGATCGTTGACTGGTAGCCCGCGCGCGCCATTTATTCTCTTTCCATTTTTTTGGCGGGGACGCCTCGAAGAATCCTTGATCGATGTGGTCATTGGGAGGTATGGGGAAATACGGAGGAGAGGGGAGAGGAGGGATGGCACTAAACCACGTGAAGACGGAAAGACACGCACCGAGACTAAAATTGTCTAGTAGTACCCGAACTCAAAGAGGGAATCGAAAAACGCCACCAAAAACACTCGATGAACCCATAAAAACACAAAACGAGGAAGAAAGGGCTGCGTAGGCAATCAAGGGGGTCTGCAACCTACGAAGATGAAGAAGCAGAAGGAAGAGATGATGACGACGACGACAATGAAGATGAGATCTCGGTCAGAATGTCCGAGAGCAGGCGGATGAGAACCCGCAGGCCGTTCAAGAAGTTAGCATCAGTCTCCCCTCCAGCACTCAATGTATGTGCGAAATCTACAACGCGGGCCTTGGCAGCCCTCCTCCCTCCCTCGCTTATAGTGACACAAAAAGGACCGCACTTCTCCTGCCCCTTCTCCTTCTGCATCCTTTCCGCTCCTCCCTTTTCTTCTTCTGCTGGTGGCAAGACCACAGCGGAATCCGGTCTTCTCGGAGTGACCGTCCTCCCTGCTTCCCGCCCTACCTTCAAGCCCTCCCTTCCTTGCTGCATAACATCGCGCGTGGCACCTTTTTGTTTCTTATCTCGCACCTCCGCTCCCACCTCCCCACCCTCATAAATCAACAACACGGAACTCGAGTAGAAGTGGTACTTGGATTGCTCGGCGAACCACGACTCCAGCCTCCGCAGCTGTGCGATTAACCCGTACTCGCCGCCATAAACCTCCATAGCCAGCGCACAGTCTGGCTGCGGTGGTACCTCCTCGTCCGTCTCCCCCCCGACTCTCTCATTACCACCTTCTCCACGTTTTTCTGCATTAAGTAATCCCCTCCACCAGCCTTCGTTCGTTGACACGAACCCTCTCAAGGCCGTCTTCAACCCCGACTCGGACAATGCTCTCCCCAGGAGCTTGTCCCCGCGCCACGTGGACGCCTTGCGACGGTTGCGCGGCGGCAGTTGCACTTGAATGCCGCATAGCCGCACTCCCAAACTCCCCGCCGTCGATTTCGCGTCCTTTGCCTTCCGCCGCCTGATCTTCTCCTCGCTCTCACCAATATGCCACGTCTTTTTACCGATCTTCAAATCGACGGCGGACGGACAAGTATACCCCGCCGTCAGATCCTCCAGGGCCAGATACCTGCTGCTGCTACTGACGCTACTGCCGCCGCTGCTGCTGCGAGGAACAACCACCCCCCGTTGTTTGTCACTCGCCTCACTTCGGTTCTTTTTCTTATTCTTTTTCTTCCTCCTCTGCCGGGGGCTCGGTTTGTGCTGCTCGCTGGCCTCCTCCTGGTTCCTCTTCTCCCTTTCGTTTTCCTCTGCCTCCTCGGCATCGTCCTTGTCGTCTTCGCCATGCAGGACGGTTGCAGGAACCGCCAGATCGTAAACGCCAAAGTACCGGGGGAAAAAGTTCGCAATGCACGATGGTAAGGCATTTTCGGCAGATATAGATTGATAGAAGGCTACCTCTCGATCTCCTCTAGCTCCGTCTTCCAGCGGCTTGTAAAACACCCCGCGGCTATCTGTCAGGCAGCCCAGATAACCCTCTTCGTACTTATGACCTGCTACCTGATTTGCACACCTGCCAATCACCACACCACCACGATCGTCCTTCTCTACGAACCTCACCTTCTCGTCCAGCAGGGGTAGCGGCAGCTCTTTCTTATTTCCCTCCTTCTCCCACCATTCCACATGATCTACCCCGCGCCTCACTTTCGCCATCTCTCTCTCTCTCTCTCTCTCTCTCTCTCTCCTTTACCCCCCCACCCCCGCCTGCGGGCAACACCTGCGCGAATATGCCCTGCTTTCCCCTTTGCTGGTCGGACTTGGACAAGTCGAGCAAAGCCAGAAAAAGACGACGAGGCACAGAAAGCGGCCGTCCTCAGTCCTCGACGAACGAAAGTCGAAAATTAATTGGCTGACGAGCTTTCCAACAACAGCCGTTTGACACGTGGTCAAGGAGGGAGAATTCCGTCCTCCGACGATTCCTCGAGTTCCTGCAGAATCATTTCCGTCATCATCATCACAGTCTTCTCATCAGATCGACCCGGGCAGATGCCGCCTGTGCCCGGTTGCCCACCCATGGCCCCCGCCGCGCCAACGTACCAGGGTGACAGCCACCCAACCACCCACTCACTTCAACCGTGCATAGCCGTCACCTAACCAGCTAGCCCATGCTTGCTCAGGTACGTGGCCCCTGATCACCTACCGAGGTGAGCTATTGCCGTCGACAGCAGCCCAGCTCACGGCTAACTACCTAAGCAGCTAGCCACTCAGAAAGCTGGTAGCCATCCCGCTGGTCGCGAGCCAGCTAGACTGCCGATTAGCTGCTGCCAGTACGCGTGCTGGTCATTCAGTCCAGCCTAATCGGGCAAATATACTTGCTATTCACCTAGCTACACAGCCGCGTCGCGGCTTTCGGCTGCATGTACACATGCACATGCGCCGGCGCTAGCTGTGGGTGTGCTTTCATCCAGCCACAACTCCTTCCACGTGTGTGCCGCTGGATTTCGCCACGTGCTTCGCTCCGTTTCCTGCAGTCTAGAGTTCAGCAAACCTCGCCGACGACGCCTTGCCGAAGCTCAGCCACTCATGCGTTCATCCATCCCTCCCGTCCATATGCCCATCCATCCATCCATCGACCCATCCATTTTCATTTCCGCTAGCGTGCGTTGACAGAGTAATCTCGCCACGTCGATCAAACCCATGCGCTTGATTGGTCATCGAAGGTGGGGTCTGCATGAGAAAGTTAAAAAAATATTGGCACGGCCTCGTTTTTTGGCAATTGACAAATGACCCCCATCCTTCGTTTCCATTGCAATGGGGTGTTGCTGACATTTCAACCGCCAGCGTGCGTAGCACTTGCCGACCGGCACCACCTCCACCGGCGCTGGCCAGTTTTACCGAGCAACATACGTATTAGCCCTCCACCTGCGTTGGCCAGTTGTACCAAGCAACGTACGTATTAGCTCTCTCACACATTTCGCTACACAATCAATCAATCAATTAGAGCAATGATTGACCACGCAGTCCATTCGTCAAGCATTCGATCAATCATCGATTATTCTATTTTGGGTGATTGACTGCTTGATCGATCCGTCAATCGATCGCATTATTCTACCAATCAATCGATGGATCAATCACCCACCCATCGAGCACTATGTCTATGTCACATCCTCACCCTGCTGGTCAATTTGAACTCAAAGGCAGTCAGACAAAGACAATATTGCTCAGATGAACGTGGATAAGTCAAAAGCAAATCAAGGACCGATCAATAGCACAAACAGCCAACCGGACACGCCAACGACCGATTGACCTCGACTGCCAATACCAGTAAGCCGCCCCGTCGACCACTGTGTCACATCCTCACGCTGCTGGTCAAATTGGACTCAAAAGACAGTCAGACAAAGACATGATTGCTCAGATGAACGTAGATAAGTCAAAAGCAAATCAAGGAGCGATCAATAGCACAAACATCCAACTGAACACGCCAACGACCAATCCTGTTCGTGCGTAATCCTGTCAACAAACGCAGCGGAAGACATCAACAAATAGGACCGAGAACACCTACTCCTCCCACTCCTTGCCACGCCGGATCGTGCTGATCATTGCGAAATCAATCGATCGATCGATCGATCGACCGATGTAACTGCTTGGCCAGTTGCTGTAATAAAAACCAAATGACACTCAGGCTCCCTCCCTCGCTTGCTGTTAATGTCAGCTTCTCTCTGTCTGACTTAGCCCTTTCTGGTTACTACCAATAACGACCTTCTACTCTTCGGACGTACATGTACAGCTCAATTTTCCTGTGTCCAATAACACTCAGACCAGTAGTATCCTCGCTTACGCTGCCGACAAACCAGCCTGTCCACTCATCGTTCAACCAGCTGGCGAAACTAGTCAATGGATTTGTGACACGACGCCTTTTGGCTAAGATCAAGTATAATATCTGTTCTGATCAGTTTAATATCTGGTCCGTGGTCCATCGGACCACATTAAAAAAAAAAAAAAAAAAAAAAAAGTCGATTCGCCCCAGCGATCGTGAGAATGAGGGGTGGTGCGTCTCCAATCGACTGATCGACTGATCGACTGATGGACTCTCGATCGTGTCGGCAGTGCCCAAGCCTCGGTAAGACGTACCGGAGGAGTCGGCACAGCCCAAGCGTCAGTAAGACGTACCGGAGGGAATCGCCAACGTCAATATCATCCAAACGTTCGCGCGAGAACGGACTCCAAAAACAATGCTCCACTATATTATTTTTCTTTACGGATAAAGATCACTTTCATGCACGGGGATCCACTGTAGTCTCGTTTGACTGCACACTCCATTGCTCGACTCGAAGGGCGGGCTGAGTGAGTGACACGACTTGGCGCAGGCCCAGAGCTTGCCTCACGCGCCAGAGCGTGGGTCGGGTCCTTGGCTCGGGACAGATTCACAGCTTGTTGTCCCGGTGTGGGTCAGGGCGGATCCGCCCTCACACCTGCAGGTCAGGTTAGTTCCGTTGTTTCACTGCCGCGTTGGCGAGGGGTGCAGAAAACAGCGCCACGCGGTAATGCCACACACAGAGTGTGATTGACCCGGCCAAGAAGAAGGGGTGAGGGAAATGGAGATGGAGATGGAGCTGGAAGGGACAGCACAACTTCAACACGCAACACATACGTATTCCAAACTGTGCAGATGAAGAATGAGGCTGGAAACAGCCTGCAACTGGGGTATACCCCCAGTGGACTGGACTGGACTAGACCTGTCTCTTATACACATCTAGATGTGTATAAGAGACAGGAGTGTGATTGACCCGGCCAAGAAGAAGGGGTGAGGGAAATGGAGATGGAGATGGAGCTGGAAGGGACAGCACAACTTCAACACGCAACACATACGTATTCCAAACTGTGCAGATGAAGAATGAGGCTGGAAACAGCCTGCAACTGGGGTATACCCCCAGTGGACTGGACTGGACTAGACTGGCCTGGTACCGACAATGGTACCAGGCAGGAATGGACCGGACTGAAAATGAGCACACAGCCTGTGGGGTCAGGCCACAGCCTGGTCCCACAGGCCAAACAGGCAAAATAGCCAGATAGGCCAGGGCAGCTAGAGGCACATTTCAGACCTGTAGTGGATCGCCAGAGTAAACACGCTTCCGCAAAAGCAGTGAAACTCTGCAACAATAAAGCTGATAAATCTAGGATGTGGAGCAAGCTCCATGCGGAATCCATGCGATGCAGCCTAAGCTACATAAGGTCAGAGCAAAAACAAATGTCTGATATACGCATCCTAGCTAACAACAGGAAATGAAATGTAGCAAGGTACAATTTCGAAGTCCTAGAGGCAATTGCCTCAATGCTGAAAGGAAAAGATAGCAATATGTCACAAGATAAGGTTCTTTCGTTGAACCACTAAGAGTGGGATGGTCTCAGAGGGGGTGAATGCAGCCTAAGAATTGAAACTCCTAAGGGCAGTTAGACACGAAGATGGGATAGGCCATCAGGCTCAGGTAGTGTAGTCCTCGGCGTACGGCCCGTGCGTACGGATGTACGAATGGGCGTACGATCGTACGAAGGGCCGCCGTCCAAACGTACCTAGGCCCCGTGGGAGGGTGACAAAGGGGCCCAAGGGGGTTTTAGCCCCAGGGATGGTGGGGGGGTCTCAAGAAGTCCCGTAGTATTTATTTTTTTTAATGCCATAAAAAAAAATACCGACATTGACGCCAACACAGAGAGAGAGAGAGAGAGAGAGAGAGAGAGAGAGAGAGAGAGAGAGAGAGAGAGAGAGAGAGAGAGAGAGAGCATGTACGTCTCCAGCCTCGCAGCTCGCCTCATGGTACTTCCATCGGTAGGATGAGCAAAAACGAATGAATCTACCACTAGAACATGAAAATATACATTGCCACACTTTTTTTTTTTTTTTTTCGCAGGGAGAATATGACTGCCTAACAACAAATCAATCAATCAATCAATCTAAAAAAAAATAATAATAAATGAGAATTTTGTAGCGCGTGTATGTGTGTGTGTGAATGTGTATGTGTGTTTGTGTGTGTGTGTGTGTGTGTGTGTGTGTGTGTGTGTGTGTGTGTGTGTGTGTGTGTGTGTGTATACGTTTGCGTGTGTGTATGTGCACGCGGGGGGGATGCGATCACCTCGATCAATCAATCAATCAATCTTTTGCATATATATATATATATATACACATATATATACATTATTTTTTTGTGTATTTTACGATCAATCAATCAATCAATGAATCAATCAACCAATCAATCAATCAACCAACCAACCAATATAT